GCAGGGATTGCGCGGCCGGGGCCGGGAACATTCGAGACTTGGCGCCTCCCCCTGAAGCGGCCCGGCTCGGCGGGCAGCGCTCGAGTTCAGCCCTGAGTGCGGGGAGGAGGGGGCCGCGGGGTGGGAGGGAGGAGAGTGCAGGGAATCGAGGGGAGGGGGTGCCGAGAGGAGGGAGGGGGGCTGAGCGCGGCACCCCTCCTCCCTGTGCAGCTTATCTTCTGTGGGGACCCTGTGCCCAGGGAACCTATGCCTCTCCAGTTCTAGGTGTTACAGGCGTTCATTTTCCTGCTTGCTGCGAAACAAGAGCCTGCGTGTGCTAGTCCAGTCTTACCAGATCCATCCTGGAGGCCGACCTCATTGTGTGGTGGTCGAGGACTCAAATCGGTCCGATTTTAAAATGAAGGAAATTCTGTCACTTGGGACGATGTGGAATGAACTTGAAGGATGTTAAGCAGAGTAGGCCCCGGAAGAATACTTACGGATCTCATAGAAGGACCGTTTAAAAAGTCTCACCAACAGAGTAGGGTGGGTGGTTCCTGGGACTAGGGAAAAAGGGACACTGATCAAATTTCAGTTAGGAGGCGCAAGCTCAAGAAAGCTACTGTACTACATGGTGGCTACTGTTACCAACTGCACACCAGAAATTTGCTGAGATAATACATAATTTTGGAACAGAGTCTCCCTAATAGCTCTCTAGGCTCACGCTCCATAACCTCTCTCCCCTCCTCCCCCTGCTTGATTTTTGCCATCAACGCAGTGTATGCATATATCAAAAAATTGTGCACTATAAATATATATTTGATTTTCAGTTGAAAATTTAAAAGAATCTCTTATTTTCTTGACTTCAGTTTTTCATGGTACATGATCTCGGCCCACTTAGAGGGGAGATAGTGGCGATCAGGCCCAGTTAGAGGGGAGATAGTGGCGATCAGGCCCAGTTAGAGGGGAGATAGTGGCTATCAGGCCCATTAGAGGTGGGGGGGCAGCTAGAGGGGAGATAGTGGCGATCAGGCCCATTACAGGTGGTGGGGGGCCCAGTTAGAAGGGAGATAAGGGTGAACAGGCCCATTAGAGGTGGGGGGCCCAGTTAGAGGGGATATAGTGGCGATCAGGTCCATTAGGGGAGAGGTGAGGCTGGGGCTCCTCATCCCAACACTCCTCTTTCACCCGTTGATCACGTGGTTTCTTTCCAGATGAGTCAGAAAAGTGGGTCAAATGATAAGGGCCTCAGCAGTGTAACTGCTGACTGGGCCACAGGATCCTCAAAGGGCTTTTTGGAAGAGGTCCGCATGATTCTGTCTTGAATAAGTTTACTGACTGGAGGTCAAAAGCTCAGTGTACGGAGAACACCAACAGTCCTTGAATTTAGTACAAAAGTGAGCTGGGCTTACAGAGAGGAGAAGATGGATTCCAGGTAATTTTAGAAAATGAAATCAAGACTAGATGTGGACGGTCAGAAATATTTGAACCGTGTTTCTCTGGACTCCAGATCTTTGCCTTTAAAATGGAGCACGAGTCTGTTTAATATTTCACATAACAGGCTGATAGCAAGCCCAACGAAGATTACATATATTTTTAAAAATCCTTAATAGAATATCAACGAATAAGATCCAACAATAAATACCCTGATGAAGACAGGGATTACTTCAATGGTATAAAAAAAAGATACAATAGTAAGAGTTGTTTTTGTTTGTGTGTTTGTATTTTTTTAACATAGTCCTGTTCTCCTGGAACTCGCTCTGTACACCAAGCTGGCCTCAAACTCAGATATCAACCTGTCTCTGCCTCCTAAGTGCTGGGACTAAAGTTATGTGCCGCCACTGACTGTTCTATGTAAGGCTTGAGTGCTGTGGAGTAATCCTTCTGTACACTGTGAAGATGTTGTTCTCATTGTTAATAAGAAGCTGATTGATTGGCTAGACAGGATTTTCAGGGCAGAGAGGGCATTGGGAGAAAGGAGGGCAGAGTCACCGGAGATGCAGAGAGAAGCAAGATGAATATGCTATGTTGAAGAAGGCACTGTTATTTGGCAGAGGGTAGATAAGAAATATGAGTTACTCTAAAATGTAAGGGTTAGTTAGTAATAAGCCTGAGCTATGGGCCAAGGGTTTATAATTAATAATAAGTCTTACTCTGGTTATTTGGGAGTGACTGCTGGGACACAGAGAAACTCTGACTACACTTGAGGAAGAAGAAAATATCCAGACCCCTCCCAGAAAGGGACATTGTAATTTCTTCTTCAGCTCTACTTCATTGTGTGTGCCTGAAACAGCAAGATACACAGAAAGCAGTCAAGTAGCCTCAGTCACTGGAGCAAATGCCCTTTAAATTTTGCAGAAACTTGTGGTCAGTGGTGTGCTCTAAAGTGGCCTTTCCCAGGATTGTCAGAGCAGGGACAAAGATGGAGGATGGGGTGCTGGCGTAGGCGTGAGCAGAGCAGGTTCCCAGGCAGGCGGGTCTTGGTTCTGAGTGTTGTAGGATGTTTATCGTACCATGTCGTAGCCTGATTTACACCACCTTAACATCACAGCCTGGTTCATGTCCTCCACTGAAACAATGGTTCTGTGTATGCTTTGTTGTTTCTGCACTTCCAGAGACTTCAGACAAGAGTGGACCAGTGTGGGGGAGGGGGCAGCCGGGAGGGGGTGGGGAAAATATAGCTCGATTAAAAAAAACAAAAAGAGAGAAAGAGAGGAGCAACTAGGCTGGGCTTCCCTAGATCCTCTGGGCAAACATCACCCAAACTGTTCCCACTTTGGGCCTGGCCTAACTGTACTTTGAAACCTAAAGGAAATGAACTGAAAAGATTTCAAAAATATTGGTAGAGTTTAGTGATTCCCAGTTCTGAAGGCAGCTTATAATTAGTGAGGACAGCTTAAACTACCAGGGGACAAGGCAAAGCGAGAAGCAAGGAGTCTAGTCTAAGATTAATCCACAACTCTAATAGAATGCTAGCAAAAAGTCGAGAATTACTTCTATATTTAAAAAATGTAACTGAAAGTGTAGCGTGTTAGAGGAAGACCTTTCTGGAAGACCGTCTATTCTCCAGCTTAACTATCTCACCGTTAGGAATTTTGTATGCAAACATGTAGAAGGCAGGTCACAGCAGCATTGTAAGTAGAGAACATGGTGTCTGCCCATTCAGGCTGCCATCATCCAATGCCTCAGTGTGGATAGTTTATAAACAGACACATATTGCTTACATTTCTGGGAGCCGAGAAGCCCACAGTAAAGGCATGGGAAGACCCGGTGTCTGCTAAAGGCTTGCTTTCTGCTTGATAGACAGCACCTTGGTTGTCTCCACGTTGTGGAGAGGTTAACACTGTCCTGAAATAGCTAAATGGGTGAGGGAGGTCCCTGGAGTCTGACCCCTTTCCCTAGGACTTCAGCACTTCTGAAAGGCCCACTCTGTAATTTTACCACATTGGGTATCAGGTTCTAACATATGAACAGGAAAGGACACTGCCATCCACGTAATAGCACTCGGGAAATAAGCTATATATTCTATAGCCCACTGTTTGAGTAAGTTAAAGCATGGCAGGTTAAAAGCTGCACTTTTTTAAATTAAAGAAAAAGTAAAAATATGTTAACATAGAATAATTGAAAGGAAAATAAAATTGGGACCCATTCAGCAGTCAGTACTTTGTGATCCACCTTGTTTTATTAGTGCTTTTTTTTAAAAGGGTTATTTATTATGGACACAATGTTCCTCCTGCATGTATACCTCCATGGCAGAAGAGGGCACCAGATCTCATTACAGATGGTTGTGAGCTACCATGTGGTTGCTGGGAATTGAACTCAGGTCCTCTGGAAGAGCAGTCAGTGTTCTTAACCTCTGAGCCATCTCCCCAGCCCCCTAATTAGTGCTTTCTTTTTACCATCACCATCCTCGTATGAAAAATTTTATCCATCTACCAATATTTCAGAGAATATATCTAAAAGATAAAGAATCTTACAAATTCTTAACAAATACACCATGCCCACAAAACCTTCACGAGTCCTGTGGCCATGCAACACTCTTTCAGAGTCTAAGTCCTCCAGTCCTTAGTATCACACTCTCTCAGCAGTTTGACTTGGGATTGAAACGAAGTCAGGCACAGAGATTGGGTTATAATCCTTACATCTTCCTTTTAATTCATAATTTTCCTTTCCTACCTCTTCTGTTTCATGCAGTTTATTAATTGGAAAAGTTAAGTTACTTGCCCCGAGTACACTCCCTCCATGCTCACCATAAATAAGTAGATTTAGAGTCTTGATAGGATTTATTTTTGCTTAGTGTTCATTCGTTTTTTTCCTTCCTTCCTTCCTTCCTTCCTTCCTTCCTTCCTTCCTTCCTTC